TCGAGAACGTAATTAATTTGTTCGCGTACTGCTTCATCTTGGATACCAAATAAATGTACTTTACGCGGACTGAGATAATAAATTTTACTTACTTGTTGATCGGAATGAGGTACGTGAACGTTTTGTGCTCAATCATAGCTGTAATGAGCAGTAGCGTCAACGCTACAATAATCAGTTTTACCTCCTGCCACAAGATAATTCTCATCTACTAATTTTCTTTGTTGCTCTGCTAATTTTGTATTTTTGTTGTAATAGTTTCTCTCCAACTTAACTTTAACTAAATGTTCTTTGAATTTTTTTAGTAAGTCTCTTGCTTCTTCTTCCTTACGAGCGTTATACTGTAAGCCGTTCCGATAATGTTGGCACGTGTCGCACAAATCCGTTTGTGGACCCATGATTTGAATATAAGGCGTTAATTGGTGCCATAACTTGCGAAACGCATCGTATCTTAACAATTTCAACGTGCTATCGTTTTCGAGGCCTGCAATAAAAGCACGATAGACTGATTTATAACTTGTTTCAGCTGGTAAAAGCGTAAGCGATTGAGTAATGCGATTGTCATTTCTACCTGGACTTGGTAATCCGTGTATTTCAGCATAATTCTCGAGAAAATTCTTTACGGCTGTAGCAACGGTTATATCAATGGTTATTTTGGTTTTTCATCGCGGCACTCTTTTTACATTACCATGAACGCGCGGTATTATACCATTCGTCGCTAGATGATTTCTGACGTTTTCGAAGTGAGTGCGACCAATTCCCAACATATTGAGATACGTTTTTTGACAAAGCGGCGTATGGCGATCTCAATAATAAAAAGTTCTCTTATTAGTACGCGTTTTCTTTTTAAGACGTCGGCTAGCCGTTATTTCTCCACCATTCATCACTTTCAGCTGGGCCATTAAAAATATGTCTTGTTCGGATCTAGAGAGGGCTTGAAATGCCTCATGTAATGTGGCAAATCTTTCTCTCGGAGTCATTTTTGAACAACCACAATTGCAAAATATCTCCAAGAAGTGCATGGCTTTTTCATATTCACTGGAACTGTTATAATTAAAATTTTTCATATACGAGTAATCCTACATATAATTTTAATACTTCGCACGTTTTTATTCAAGTTATTAATGTCACGAAGGAAAAAACTTTGATTGCTTATTATTATTTCTAAATAAAACTGCTAAACAAGATGTGCTATATTTGTTTGTATTTACATTTTTTGACCAATTCTTATATTATTACTAACTAACCTCAACATGACAACACAAGATAGTCATCACAACAAGACTACATCTTTTCAGTCTGCTATTCAGTTATAGGAAATAATCTATATCATTAACATTCAATCAGGCATTTCCATCATGTCCATTGCATCCACTGCTGGTAATGGAAACAACCTATCGAGCATATAGACATCGTCTTGCCGCATGATGAGGTTTCCATCTAGTACGTTATCTGGTCGCTGGATATCAACACAGTTGACAAGTGGTGGATAGCGCACTTGTCCCTCTATCCCTGACCAATCAAAGTCAATTAACATAAAGCTGCCGTCGTTCGCCACAATGATGTTTGTATCTCGTAGGTCGCCGTGAACCATATTTCGGTTGTGAAGTTGAGTGACAACCTCTCTAATCTTGCGACCAAGTCCAACAGTGGACGGAAAATTGTCCATGTGCCGTTCTGAGTATACTCTATGTTCATTAGGATTGATTGCATCCATAACTACTAAATACCACCCACCAATAATCATTTGACAAGCATGTAGAACTGGTGCAGCCCTTAACGAAGCACAATACTGGTGTGTTTCACTTGAGTACCTCCGAGTGAATTTGATGCATATTTGACCCCCCTTTTCCGTTTCGCCATAGAATATTAGCTTTTTAGATGGATGTTGGCCTGTATATTTGAATTGAATGGGAGTAGCACCTTCACCTCCCTGAATTGGAATGAATTCACGAATATAGGGAAATTCCAGACTTTCTGGGCTGACAGGCAGTGGATTTTGAATCTGGGCATTACCTTCATTATAGTATTTCTTTAGCTGTTTAACAGCACGTCTGAATGCACCAAAGGCTTGTGCTGCCATCTTGTGCATAAAATAGTCATGTGGCTCAGTGTATAAAGGGATAAGAGGGGTGAGAGGTGCTAAGTGAATTTTGGCATCTGTCATCGCTAAAGCTGCAAAACCAAAATTTGGACCTACAAAGAATGCATTGAGCAAGTTGCATGTTTCATCATTGTTTTTAGAGTATCATTTTGCAAATTACTTACCAGCATAGAATATGAGTATGCATGGTAGAACAGAATTTATCCGCTCATATGCATGCCTGCGTATGAGTTCCACATAGTAGAACCCACCTTGGAAATATGGATCCTTGCCACCTAGACCGAGTTCATTCTTAGCCTCAGAGATAACACAAACATTTCCCTTCTCTTGCATGTGACCATCTGTGCAAGATGAACTGTTATCAACCTCAGCAGCCATCAGTTGGATGCTATAGTTATTTTCCAAAATCTCACGGAATACTCTTGCACGCTCTCGCTCATGATCATAAAAGCGCACCATCTGCATAGACAATTCCTGTAAGAGCATGTTGTCTTTTCGTTTTGGTTTATAGTGTTCACGGTCATGCTGAAATTGACCAAATACAGGATGTAGGAGTGCAGCAGGAAAAGAAGCATAGTCTTGTGTTGGGCGGTTGGAGTAGAAAGTTGGTGGTGTGGTAGTAAGCTTCTCAGGCAGAAAGTCCTTTATGTTGGCTAACATTGCCAAGGATGATGGTGCCATTTTAGGAATTTGTTCAAGACATTGCTTGCGCTGGGCAGGAGAATCCAAAGACAGCCCTGAGATGATAAAACATGGCATTTAGTGTGGAAACATAATAGTCTAATAAGAGCATTCTGGTAAATAACCTTACCTTCACCTGCTTTTCTTTTTTTCACAAGCCCAGCTGTTATATTGAGTGAGAAAAAAGATGAACACAATTTGCTATCGTGAACAGTTTGCCAAACATTTACTCATTATATACACACTACTCTATGTATGCCCCAACGCCCGAGTCACAAAGTCGTTACCTGGTTGAGTTTCCTCCTTCAGCACCTTGTAATTCCACTCCATCCACACCTCTCTACACTCCTTCACGGCCTCTCTACACTCCTTCACGGCCTCTCTACACTCCTTCACGTTATTTTTCAGATCTGCCTCGTCGTCCACCAGCCGCTTCAGCGTAGCCTTCTCCTTTGCATTGAGATCCTCCTTGTCCCTCAACTCGTCCAGCTTTACTCCCCGATACTTCGACTCCTGAAACTTCTCCAACGTCGCATTTGCCTTGTCCAACGCTGCGTTCGCCTTGTCCAACGCCGCGTTCGCCTTGTCCAGTTCATTCTTCGCATCCTTCAGTTGTTGCTGATAATATTCAAACGTAGCCATGGTAGAGCGGTAAATTTTTTCGTGTGTCGTTTCGTGGAAGTTGTTTATGTGCTGCGCAATGTGAAATCAATGACGTATTATTATTATTGGGAACGTTCTAGACCTTTTTACTGTTCCCCTGCATGCAGAATATGACCAATGATAATCAATGCGCAAAAATTCGCGTTTGTCTAATGATCATCCGCAGTATATGATGAACAAACGGATATTTTATTATAATAACAGCGCTGGTTAACTTACTTCAGAAATTAACCACAACGCAATAAATATCGTTTAAAGTAATAAAACAAATCTGTCAACTTCCACCAATAACATCTACAAAAATGCTTACGCTCACAAGCGAATTTCTTTTTGGAGTATTTATTGGCTTCGTTCTCGGCCTGTTGCTAAATGGCATAATCTGTAATGATCGGCTTAATACGGGAGCCCTAATTCAATCGACGAAGTTGAAATCCATAACAAAATTGTCAGCGGCGAACAAAATTTACTCGCCAGAAATCGAAAAGTTGTGGAACGATTATACGACGAAAGAATTAAATTGGATCCAAAATTTTCATTTAACAAGATGGCGTTTGAAATTCGTAAGTTGTTCGGTGAACAAAAGCCATTGCTACGTCTATAATAAGAAATTTTTATCTTCGAAGAACAACCCCGCGGGAAAAGACCATTGAAGCAATCCAACGTTGGATCGACAAAGAAAAGAAGAAAGATATAAACTACTCAGACGGGGGAAATAAAAATGAAGTAGATGATAGTAGTAAGACTATTACTAATAGCAATAGTAAAGAAGATAATGAAATTTAAAATTTGCACCGGAGTGACCAAAGAATAGGTTATACTCATAAATGGCTTTGGGTCCGAGTATTTTCCTCCCATGCAATCACTCTGGTGC